CCCCCCCCAGCGGTCTCAGACTGCGCGGAGCCTCCCGGACACCCCGGTCCTGGCCGTGGCGTAACGGGACGGGGGGAGGGCGGGCGGCTTCCCTAGCCGGGCCGCTCCGCTGCCGCGGGGAGAGCCCTGCCGTACCCCGGCTGAAGGGGGGCACCGCACCTACCCCGCGGGCCCGCCCCGAGGCCGCAGGGCTCCTCGCAGCGCTCCTCCGCCGAAAAGGTAGGAATCAGCCAAAAGCGGGGAAAATACGTTTTTCAGAGAATCGAGTGAAGTGGCTTGCCCCGGCACATCGTGCAGGTCAGTCGCAGAGGGGGGCTGATGCTAATTGCTAGATTTCCTAGACCCCAAAATGTTATTAAAAATAACACAGAGTGGGCTCTGGGAGTTCTTCCCCATCACCACTTCAGAACAAGACACCGGTGAGCACAGCACAAAGGGTGAATGATGATTAAATGCTTGTGCATCCCCAATTCTCAGCTACCACAGATCCTGGCAAGTCCCTCAATCTTGCCCAGGGGACATCTGCTCCAGCTTGAGCTTTGCTGTATTTTGGTTGCTCTGTGCTTTGGAAGAAATGCGTGTTTGTCTTGACACAGGCATCACGTGGCCCGTCCAACAGAGCCAGACAGCAGGTTGCGTCCCCGTGCTCAGGGAACTTCTGAGGGAAGTTTGTCCTTTTGATGATGCAGAAGTGTCTGGAGCACCTAGACATCAGTGCTGGAATAGTAAATCACGTGTCACATTCAACCAGTTCTACCGACGTTTTTCTACAGGATTTTAAACGTATCATGCCATCATATTTTAACGTTTTTAGAAAATTTATCTTTGGATAGCAAAAGATACCCAACCAATGCAGGAGCTTCCACATGGCTGTATGCACCTACATGTGACACAGCTAAAACCACGTTAAGGTGTATGTTGGCGCTGGGTGCTGCTCACAGAACCTTCGAGCCTGGCCAGCAGGACCAGCCCGGGACCATCGGGGCTTCAGAGCTCCCCATGACTCCCGTTAGCACCCCCGCGGCCCGGCGAGCTCTCGGACCGGGTGAAGGTACCACCGGGGACGCAGCTGCAGGCACGGCCGCCCGCCGGGCACACACACACGCTCTACGCCGGCAGCTGCAGCCCATCTCCCCAGGAGTGGGGACTCGGGTGAGCTCGCCCTCTAACTCTACATGCACAATTGAACCAAGAACCCACCACCACCCCGTCTCGCCGCCGGCACGACGCCGCCCTTTATACGTCACTACCGGCGCCCCCGGAAGCGGAAACTCCCTGAGGCGGCTCTGGCGGTGCCGCTGCTGCTGCCGTCAGGGGTGCAGGGGTTGCGGTGGGGAGGTGGTGCTGGGCCGGGCAGGCTCCGCCGGGCTCAGTCGCCCCTTCCGGCTCCTCTCACCTTCTCCGCCTCGGCGGGGCCTGCCTCTCGCCTCCGCCATGCACCCCGTTTTCCAGAGCAGCCGGCGCGACTTCACCTTCGGGCCGTGGAAGCTGAGCGCCGCCCGGACCCACATCATGAAGTCGGCGCAGGCCGAGAGGTGAGGTGGGTGTGGGCCCAGTGGTATGTGTGTGACCTCTGCGGGTCGCTGACCCTCCCCAGGGCGTTCCGGTACGGGGAGGAACCTTCGCGGGGCTGGGACCTCGCTCCCTGACACCGGGGCGCTCGGGGCGCCGTGATCAAAAATAACGTTCCCTGGGCGGCGGAGACGCTGTTTAGCTCACTGTTAGGGGGGGGGGTGGTGGTTTGTTCCCTCATTACTTGTGTGAGGGTAAGCTCGCCTCTTTGACTTGAGAAACTGGGATGATTTAAGTTACGGATGGCTTCCAGAATTCTGGTTTTAATAATTGCTAATGGTTTTGGAGATCTGGATCTTTGTCAATTGTAGCCTGCTAATTATAAGCCTGTTTTTCTTAATTACATTTTAACGGTGATTAAAGCTATTTTAAACGTGGTCTGCTGACTCTCATAAGCCATTTCGTGGTAATGGCTATTTTAAGATAGTGGTTTTCATTAAAAATTTATTATTTGCTCTCTCCTTGTAATAGTAATTTCTCCTGCTGCCACACTATTGGAGAAAATGCTCCTGTGTCAGCATCGAGTACTTAACTCAGACTAGCTAATGTGAAACTGAGCAGTTCAGTTGTGTAGTGCTAAAGTTGACCTTGGTGGCACTCAGGTTTGACAGATACTTCTTGGTTTCAGTTTCTGGAATACATGCATGAAACTTTGTTAGTCTTGTTAGAATATCTTTATTCGTGTTGCTTTTAACTTTTCTGAGGCAAATTTGTTTCATAAAATCTCATGTCTTGAAATGTTACCTTTTTTTTTTTTTACAGTAAACTATATAAACGTTATTTTTTTAACATAACAGCATAATACTGATTTTTTTAAAAAATAGATATCTGCCTTAAACCAGGTAAAAACTATGTGCCTTCCTCCGTCTTTATCCTATGTTCAATGCCTAAAATAATCTTCTCAAACTGCTTCTGACTAGTGGTCCTTCAGCAATTACAGGTAAGAAAGCTTGAATCCTGTGACACAGTTATTTTGTTGTAATGAGGATTCAACATCCAACTAAGCTGTACCTGTGTCCTGCAGAAGGAGGGCTGTTATTAGAGAGTATGATTTTTATGGGATGTTTGTGAAGACTTACTTTGTAGGATGCTACCTCTTAAAAATTTTTATTCTTAAGATCAGGAGGATGTCAACTCTCTTCATTATCTGTAAATACAAGAGACGCTTGAAGTGCCTGTCTAGAAGCCAAGTTGCCTGTTGTACTTATCTTCTGATCTATTCAGTTTCTTTAACTGTAGCTATTTTAAAATAAAGAGTCACTTCTTAATTTTCGGAAGTTACCTTTATCTGTTTAGATGGTTTTGAGGGACATATGTTTTTTCAGAATACGTTGAAAAAGGCTGAAAAGTAAAGTTGCAAGAGCCACAGCATAAGCTTGAAAGAACACAGAGGATTTTGCAGGGTCAGGAAGAGAAGTCCAAAATCAGCCATTTATCTGTAGGTCTTGGTACCTAGCATGAGATCCCCAAAACCATTATTCCACTTTGAATTTGAAGAGTCAGGAACTATGCAGTTGCAGTGTTTTTACTGCGCTTCCTTTTATAATGTATTTCTCTTGGCATTTTGATTTTGTTTATTGCTTTGGAAACATCATTAGGATCTGTCAGAGTTTTATTTCTGGCAACCGTATATCACAAAAATCTCTCAGCAACCTCTCTGGAAAGGTGAAGGATTAAATGTACAGAGCCAAGAACAACAATACTGGAGTTGGCCTTATGCAGGTCAAGGAGCCTACACTTGATGAAATGGAAAAGTTCATAACGTTATTCTGCCTCCTCTGGGAAAGACATAGGATCTTACTTTGTAGACATACAAATTTTCTGGATTTGTTTCAGTTTGGTTAGGACACTGTTCTTTTGTATGCAGGGTTACAGAAATAACCAATTTTGTTCAGGAATGCCTTGTTATCAATGTGAAAGTTGTGCTTGGGACACTTTTTTTTTTTCTCCCCTCTATATAATTAGTATATTTCCTCATGTTTTCTTCTCTCCAGATGTCATATATTTCTTTTTAATCTTGATCAGTAAAGCAGGTAGTGGTAGGGAGGAAAGGAAGTATGTAAAGTCTTTTGATAATAAGGTCCATGTATATGTAAAGTGGTGTTATATGTGTGTGTATTTATATGTAGTGTATGTGTATATGTACCTATGTATAAATAAGTATAAAGACTGATGTAAAAGAAAATGTGAAATGGGGTATTTTGAGATTTTCTGCAGCGATCATGCTTATTTGGTTCCTGCGATACTTTTTTCAGTTGTGGCTGTGGCTTTCATACTTAAGGTTGTAAATACTGGTATGTGTTCTGAACCAGCTTGGGAAAGTACTAGAGCACTATAGTGTCTTCACTTCTCACATACTCTGCCGGGGTTGTTCTCATCCCCTTTTTGTAGAATTTGGAGGTATGGACCATTGTGAAGTGAATTTAAACTCGCTGACAATGAGTGCTCATTCCTAAAACTTCTTTCTGGCACCTGCTGAAGTAGCTCATGGACCATCCAGGGATTTGCTACAACAGGTTGAAAGCTTATGAGAGATTTTTAAATTATTTTTTTTTTTAAATTTCTCACATATGAGCTTTTTGTATGAGCCTGATGGAGAAGGAATGTTTTAGAAATACTTTTGTAGTGGAAAGTGACTTTGGATCAGTGAATCTGCCATTCATGTCAAGTGATAAAACTGGGAAAACAACAAAGTTTTGCTGAACGTATTGATGATGTGTCTTCTAAATTACCATGGTCTAAAAAATACTTAGTTGAAAACAAGGCCTGTTTTCACTGAACTATAGCTGAGTGATCTCTCTTCATGGGACTTTTATTTTTCTGTGCAGATTGGCTGATGAATTACACATGCCTTCCCTGCCAGAGATGATGTTTGGAGATAATATCCTAAGAATACAGCATGATCGTGGTTTTGGAATTGAGTTCAATGCAACAGATGCTTTAAAATGTGTCAATAATTGTCAAGGTATGATCAAAGTGGCTTGTGCAGAGGAGTGGCAAGAGAGCAGGTACAGTATTTTATCACCAGTGGGCAAGTACTGGTGTGTTATATGTGAAACTTAAAGTAGTTAAAAAAACAGACTGAACTCTTGAAGAACATGTTGCATTTCCTTTTACCATGGATACAGTGTGTGATCACAGAAGTCACTTGACTTTTTTCTTGCCACACTCATCCTAGCTGTTAGACTGGCTCAACTACATTTTTCAGTTGTGTCTTGGGTTTCTTAAAATAAATTACAAGTTTAACATGGCTTAATGTGCTTCTGTTTTTTCAGACTCATAGAGCATTACAAGGTTGTGCTGTGTAATGTTTGAAAGTGCAAAATGCTGTACATGTTCAAACTCTTAGCCTTAGGAATATAGCAGAACACTCACATGCATGAGAACTACCTGTACTGCTTAGTATTTACCAAATTAGTTGCAGAGCACCTAGAAATAAAACAGAGAGAAACCGAAGTGGTCATGAAATCTAAGGCAAATAGCAGAGTTAATGACTGCTGTGTATTATCAGAAGATTGCTTTCTGCCTACTTAAAGAAAAAATGATCTTGAAATACAAACTTTTCAACAACTAAATTGAACTAAAGTCTTTATTTTGAGTCATAGGACTGTCATAGTGTTAGCACAGGAATTCTCATAACTGTTTTCTAATTTATTATAGAAACAGATGATGTGAAAAAAGCAATACTGTATGATTAAGTCTTGACATCATCATCGCAGCACAGACAATGCTGCTGGTTTTCTCCAAGAGCGTGGGAATTGTAATGCATAATGTTATGTGAGGTTATAATTTTTTAAAAAATACTACAGATTGCTGTTTTTCACCTCAGGAGTGAGACTGAGCACACTAAGGAAGTTGTCAAGCCATATGATTGGACTTACACAACAGACTACAAAGGAACATTGCTGGGAGATGCTGCAACCTTAAAGGTAACCATTTTCTCCTTGTTAAATGCTGATTGCATATTGTTTCAGTCAAACACAAACACCTTTTTTTTTTTTTTGCTTCATAGTTTCTGACTTCACAGTATCCGTTTGGGATTTTGTGTCTCAGCATGTTATCTTCATCAAATCATGGCTTATTTTAATAACTGCTGTGGTTTTTAAAGACATTTTAGGATTACATCAAAGGCTGCTGTTGTGTCTCTTAGTGAGTAAGATTCATGGGAATCTTCAGCACTTGCTGGGTGCCCCTCTGAGCTCCTCAAACACAGCAGAACTATCAACTGTGTAATTCTCTAGTACCTTTACTCTCTGTTGCTTGCCAGTTTGTCTCGACAGATACATAGATCTGACTGCTTTCAATGGTTTTGTTTTTCTGCAACAGTAACTCCTCATTTAAACCCACAGGCCCTCCTTTGTCTTTATTTATTCTAAAATAAGACTGAAGTTCCCAGCTTCTATTTACTATATACAGACTGCTTGCTACCTATTAATTCACTAGGATTGTGTTAGTTATAGGTCACTTGGATTACAAGTGCAGCATAGAAATAATCAATGTCTTGTTGGCCCGTAGTCTTCTGGCAGTGGAAGTGTGTGAGTGTATATGGAGACCATGAGATGGAAAACACACAGGTGCTTGATTTCCATGGAAAGGCTTTATCAGAATCCTTTTCAGGGTTCGCAGTGGGCTAGAGATACTAAAGGCATGGAATACTGTTTATAACCCACAACTTCCCATTTATATGTTAAATACAAGGCACCTTCAGATGTTTTGAAATGCAGAAAATGAGTGGAATTGTTTGCAGATGAAACTCGACTGAGGCTGCACCCAGAGGGAAGTTTATTCAGAACTTTCAACTCTTAGTTTTTGCTTTGATTGATGTTTTCTCTTGGAAGCTTAGGTTTTAATTACAACTTTTTCCCTTAGAAATTCAGGATGTTTTAAGCTTAGTACCCTAAAAGCTTTTTGCTTTCTAAAACTAGCAATTGTGGGATTTGAAAGATCTGGACAAACTGTATGTAGCTTGGCAACAAATGAATGTGCCAACTCTTCTTCATCTTTTTCTTTAGGTTATTCCTACAACAGAACACATAAATACAGAGAAATTGAAAGCCAGAGAACAAATTATGTTTTTTGAAGAAGTGCTTCTGTTTGAAGATGAACTTCATGATCATGGAGTGTCAAGTTTGAGTGTAAAAATAGTGAGTACTGAGAGGATTGGTGTCTGTTGGCTAATGTATCCAACATCCAGTCACTTTTTACATGTCGTTCCTTCTGGGATTTAAAGTTTAAAATGCAAAGTTCTTTATTCTCACTCTTAGATTCATACTGGAAACAATATTGTCTTGACATCTTTCTGTCAGTTGCTTCAGGCAACAATCTTTTCCCTCTTTCTTCATCCTGCCTAAGAATCTTTTTTCAGACACTGTCTGCCTTGCTGCCCACTGATAGCTGTAGCATATCAACAGCCCAAATTTTGACATTACTCCTGAAAGCTCCTCATGCTATCTTTTGTTGTGAATATCTGATGTAGATAAGTGCAAATCTTTGTAATATGCTGAATGGAACATCTTTATTTTTGCAGAGAGTTATGCCTTCCAGTTTTTTTGTGCTACTGAGGTTTTTCTTGCGAGTTGATGGGGTTCTTATCAGGATGAATGACACAAGGCTTCACCATGAGGTAAACCCTTATTTGCCATCATGAACATTCTGCAGATTCTCCCTTGCCATGTTATTTTCAGAGAAGACCTGCTGATATTCCTGTAATTTGATACTGATGTTTGGGGGCATAGAGGTTACCTGAACTGAACTTTCAAGTGTATTTTGTTATTGTGGTGGTGCTGAAGTAGCAGCAAGTGCTGGATGGCATGGGGCTAGGTTTTAATGAGCAGAGGAGGCTGCCCCTCTTGTGAAGTCATCATTTGACAGACGCAGGTTAGAGAGGAAGTACAAGAGGAAAACCAGGCAACAGTAAACGATGTGATACTGTTCATATCCTTGTCTCTGAGTAAATGCTTTTTGGCTTGTCTAATACATGACTGCAAGTTTTAACTTGCAAATAACTGTCCATACTACATTGAGTTCTATTATCTCATAAATAACACAGAACATCACAGTTGTGGTTTGCATATTCTGTCTAGCTGTGTTTGTACTGATGGTGGGGTTCTAGCTGAGTAAAGATTGACAAGCATATTCAGACATAGAAATATTTTTTTTCATGCATGCATGCAGAAAGGTGATTTTTTGGGAAAAAGGACATTTTTCTCTGTCTTTGTGAATTTGAATGTATGTTTCTGCTCCAGGTGAAAATCTGTGGTCAACCAAATTCAAATGCTTACTAAATTCAGTGTATTTAAAATGTGCATTTTGAACTGATACTAGATGATAATTTTGTCATTAATTTTTGCCATTTTTTCCCATTAGGCTGACAAGTCCTACATGTTGCGAGAATATACATCCAGAGAAAGCAAAATATCAAGTTTAAAGGTATTGCATTTTTTGAATGTTTTTTTTCTTCTCTATAGTTTTTAAAATTGTTTTATGATCAACACAGAAAATCCTGTGTCAGTAAGTCATTCTTTGTTAGGATTGGAACTGATACAGAGGAAAAGCCTTTCTGCCTATGCAACATTTATTTTGGTGATTTAAGGGCAGATTTACATCTGTAAATGCTCAGATCACATGACAAGATAGGGGATTGGGTTACTTTTTCTACTTTTGGGTTAACAAGATTTTTTTTTTATAGAACTGTGCAGCCACAAAATCAGGTAGTTCATGTCCCATGATGCTAAATTTTAGGGCTGGTTGTATGCTTGCAAGTAGTATTAAGGGTTAAAATCTGTTTGATTAATTCAGTTTTTCTCAGATAAGTTTAATATCCCACCTTAACTCTGGTAATGGCTCAGAATAATTTGTGGCACACTTGGAGGTGTTGATTTTTATTCTTAACCCAACACCTGATCTTGGGTGCTCCTGTTACTTTCCTTCTCCCTTGTTTTTACTTCACCTGTAAAAAGTGAATGATATGTTACTAACCTTCTGAAGGAATATTTTTGCAAAATGCTTTTCTTGTTGAGGAAAGGGGCACTGTGTCATTTCTTAACAATATGTGATCCCTATAAACAAGACTAAATCCAGACATGAGCTTTTTGATAGTTTTGTGGGTTTTGAAATATAAAGCAGTGATCTAGGTTTTACTTCACCTCATGTTTAAAAATTATCATTTACACTTAAACAATTTTTGCTGCCCGCTGTTATAGAGAGCAGATGCATATGGTTTTTCAGTTCTCTAGATCAGCTTGTGTAAGTGAAGCAAAAAAGATTCCTGCTTCACTTAGGCTTGAAATAATTGGAAGACCAGTACGATTCCTCGCATGTTAGGGGTAGCCAAAATACAGGTCGCATTTGAATGGCTCTGGATCCACTTCTTAAAGAATAAAGTTTGAAGGTGGTTTGCTTAGTATATATTGTTTGGAGTTTTTTTTTTATCAAATGTCTGTATGTGATGAAGTTGTCTACAGCAATCTCCAGAGAGATACTGGTTAACTTAATGAAACCACATAATTTCTTCAAATATGAAATTAAAATATAATGAATTTTAGTATTTCCTATAAATATCTGAGGTGGACTTCCTAAAACTAAGACACATATCGAGGTGTATCAGTTATCAGTAGCTAAATCTGAGCAACTCCAGTGAATATACTGCAATGGCTAGAAGACAGTAAGCATAGGATCCCTTGTGGCTATCCTAGTCTCATCTAGAACTAGAACCTCAAAAAGACTGTTGCATTCAAATGATAAATACATTTTTTTTAAATATTGTAGCTATTCGTGAATGTCTCTTTCTTGTGCTCTTAGGATCTGCTGTTTAAAGACATTGAATACCTTTCTTTAGCCTGTTGATCCACACAAGGAGTAAAGACTATATGTACATTTAAAGTTACAAGATCAGTTTTAAGAATCATACCTGACTTCAGGTGTTTAAATCAGAGAAATTATAGATTAATTGACTGTAAAAGTTTGGGGTTGGAAAACCTTTTTTTTTCCTCCCCTCCTCATTCACTTGTTTAATGTAAAATTTTTGCTTCTTAGCACGTCCCACCTTCCCTGTTCACGGAACCTAACGAGATCTCTCAGTACCTACCCATAAAGGAGACAATCTGTGAAAAACTAGAATTCCCAGAGAAGCTGGAGCCTAAACCAGAAGCATCACTGGAAACCATGTGTGTTAAGTCTAAATAAATGTGACTTTATATGGACTTGAAGTAGACTGGAGATGTGATCACATAACTGTTGCCATGGGGGGAGGTTTCACTACAAGTGGAATAAAGAATTTGGCTAATTTTTCTGTAGCCCTGAGAGAAAACATTTCAAGCAGGTTTTGCTAACCGTGTTTTTTGTTTATTTTTTTAACCTGTATCTGGAGTTAATGATAGACTGGTGGTGAGCTATAGTTTTCAATGGCACTGGAGAAAGACTCTGATGATTAAGAGTCTGGGTTCTGTTTAGTTCACCAGTTAGGCAGCAGTATTGTCTGGACCCTCCACCACAAACACTTCTATGAAGATTTTGTTATTGCTGCTTCAGATATTAAGAGACTACTGGAGTCATGAAATTGGCATGATTTTATTGAGAAATCATCCACAGTAAAAAAAATAAACAAATTTCCTCCATTTATTTTGAGCTGTTGGTCCTAAACTACACATTTTGCTTGGCTTCCTCTACTGTGAGCTGATAATCAACTAAGTTACATTTTGGAGTCTCTGATGCAGACTCTAACTTAAGAATATTAATTTCATCTGAAGAAAGGTTTAAGGAGAAAAAAAGATCACACTTGTTTGACACTATATAAAGGTAAAATTACCTTGTTTGTGCGGCATTAACTCCAGAGCAGGAGAAAAGCTGGAGGTTGAGACACACACGCTTGTAAGTCTCTTCACAAATACTAGTTGAATCTGATGCCAGCCCGATTTCTCTAGACAGTTCTGGAGACTATTGCTTGAGGTCTGTATGCTGCTACAGTCCTGTACTGTATTGGAAATGCTTTGTACTGTCCTGACCTTCTGTTGGTGCACATGTGTGATGGTTATGCTGCCCTGACAGTCAAATTACTCAATTTCAGAGTAGCTTGAAGCTGGGGAAGAGAGGGGTGTTTAGTCTCTACTCCCTAAAGGATGCTGGTATTTGCAGTTTGAGAACCAAGATCCTATATAGCCATAAAAGGATGCTAACATGTATTCCAGATACATTGTTTGGATTTATTTTTACAGTTCTTTACATTCTGCTATTAATAGAAGTGTGATTATGTGTATAGTCATGGTTTTAACTCAACACTTTGTAGCTTAAACTTTCAGTTCTTGTATTGCTTTTGAAAATCCCAAATTATGTTAATGGTTTGTCCTAAGAATGGGGGAGCTACACAGACTTGACTTCAAGTTTCCTGCTCAACAGTCAGTGAAGTGCAGGAAGCAAATGACTGTAGTGAAAAGCAGGCCTTGTGGTTTAAGGTGATGGCAGATAGGAATGGGTACACGTTCTAATTTCTTGGAGTTTTTGTTTAAAAGTGTTCATACTTTACACTGCATGGCTTAATAGAAACAAGCTATCTCAAAACCCTGGTATTTAATTGGGTCTTTTGAGAAATGGTATTCACTTAGAGAAGACCCTGGGGTTTTTAGAAAAAAAGTCTACTGCCATCTAAGTGACTGTTTTATTAAGAAAAACAACACTTTGGAGGCAGCCTGGTCTAATTAATTGATTATAAGGTCAAAAGGCAGGAACTATCTGCAGTTTTTCCTGTGTCACTGATTTACTCTAACGACAGGGAAGTCCCTTCTCTGTGCCTCAATTCCTTGCATGTAGAAAAGAGAGTTAATACACGCCTACCTCACTGAGGGGCTGTGAGGATTATTTTGTAAAAAGTTATTGATTAGATTTTTTTTCCTTAATACACCTTCAGCCTTATCTTTGGAATCCTTTGGAAAGGATTATTACTGCAAAAGATCTTATGATCCATAAGGATAAAATGAGTGAAGAAAACTGAAACTGATCAGTCTCTGAAAGGAATTATCATCAGCCAGACATGATCTGGGTGAGTGAATTTATAGCCACTTTGATATAAAGGTGAAGTTCTCTGTATTTGCCATTAGAGCCCTAAATTCTGTTGGCTTTTTTTTCATCTTCCTGCACTTGTTTCCTAAAGATTTTAGTCTCAGGATGAAAAAGGGGCTGCAAATGAATGCAGCATGGAAGTGACCAAAATTCTTTCAGTAACAGGATTATTTAGGTCTGCTCCAGTGACAGACGGATATGGGGGGAGAGTAAAAAGGAAGGGAACAACAAATGAGGGTGAAGAGATATTTTTCTGGTAGAAGTAAATCGTGGCACTTTTACACTAAGCATATATTATTTTACATGCCTTAAAGGCTTACAAAAACACACTTTAAGGCTGGTAGTGACTGAGAGGAGAGTTGATGTGCTGGCATGAAGGAAACTATATTTGCATTCATTAATTAAAATTGTGATTCAGGTTAGTCAGTGATGTTAACATTATTCTCCATTGGGCTTAAGTATAGTGGGGGGACCCCACCGAATGGACTCCTAACATTGAAAGGGATGCTCTGCATGTTTAGCTTATTCTGTGTATTTTATCTTGTCCATCATACATACGAATTTGTGACCCGTTGATAGAGTTGTCTTGAATGGACTTGAATCCTGACTATATAGATATGTGATATCCATCTATTTTGGGTGCTGTGCATTTAAGTGGAACACACACGTTGGGGAAATCACAATAATGTGTTTAGGAAGTTGCAGTTACTACAAACTAAAACTTGGAGCACTTTGTGACTCTCTTAGACCACTCAAATTATCAAGAAGCAGCAACATAAACTGGTGTACTGCAAGCTCTCTGGTACACATTTTCCACAGAAAAGTACCGCTTTGGACACATAATTTTAGGGGGAGGGGAGTGGGGTGATTCTCCAGCTGTTCTGTGGCAAGTTTAATACGTGGCAGTTTATATACTTTCTTGTATGTTGCTAAATAAAATGTACCAAACGTTTTATAGTTCTGTTTTTATCTGAGCAAAATAAACTGGAGTAACTACTCGTGATGCTGAATGTTACATGCGGGTAAGATGTTGTGTCCGTGTGCCCTTCGCCTGCCATCAGCCCACTCTGGCTAGTGATGGAAATAAGGTGGGACTTTTTCAGAGCAGGGAAGAGCTGAATTAGTGGGAGGAAAATGAAATCTCTGTTACTATTTCTGTAAGCGTCACTATTGACAGGTCGTAGACTCCAAAGTGGTGGGAGGAGGTAGGATAGAACGAGAGAAGGAAAAGCGGCAGAGTGTGGGCTCTTGTGTTCTCTAAGTCTGGCAAACACTGGGACAGTTTAGCTATCGGGTGGTGGAGGCTCGGAAGAATAAGAAATACCGGACTCTCCGGGATAAGTGGGCGTGTTTGCTGGCTCTTAAAATCCCAAACCAAGCTTCTAAGTGACTGCGCCGGTAATCGGTGCTCGGCTGCTCTTCCGTAATCCCCGGGAGTCTCTGTTGTACGGAGGTCGGTTCGCAGTACCGGGGTCGGTGCACCGGCTCCAGCAGAGCTCTCGCGGGGCGGCTGGAGCGCCCGGGGGGGGCCCAGGGGCCAGCTCACCCCTCCCTGCACCTTCCTCCCC